AGATCCCTACTCTTCAGCAGCATCTGTTCTAGGCAATGCTCAACTTGCTTTTAAGAAGATAAGCGAGTCTTTGTCGAAGGAGGATATGATGTATCTGAATTCACGCCCTCCAACTGAGATTGTAGACCGACTCATGCATGATCTCGCACGGGTTAACTCTCGCACCATCCTCTGTTTTTATTTAGCTTTTCTTTTCCTCTTCATTGTAACTTTTTATTCCCACGTGCGTACAGGTGAATACACATGCGTATTACTTGTCGTGTCTAGCTGTAAAAGGAGGAGAGCATTACACCAATATGTTGGCTTCTACTCGCTCCCAACACCAAGCTGAGTTACAAGTGGAATGTGATAAACATGAGGTCGCTCTACAAGCAATGTTTGCTGAGTTAGAAACAGAACGAGCTTGTCATGCATCTTATGTGCAAAAACTCGAAAAGGAGATGTCCCAGAAACTAATGGTGGAAAGAGCCAATGCAGTGGATGAGTTTAAAGCCTCACCCACCTTCAAGGAGATTATGTCGAAAGCCTACTTTGATGGCTTCGAAGATTTTCGGAATCGTGCTGCTTCTGAATTTGCAAACCAAGACTTCTCTGTTATTCAACTAGATGAAGCGAGTGATTCCGAATAGGATAAATGTGTAGCCATTCATTTATTTGCTCCCATGTTTCTCTTTCTGCTTGAAACTTCTCTTTCTTTACAATTAGTTTCCATTTATATTTGTAGGGTTGATAAGTAGGAAGGACAGTTATGTTTTGCCATTGCGACTGTCGCATTATGTTATTTTATTGACATCTTTGGTTGGCTCATCCCTTTAATAAGGAAAGTAGATTAAGACGAGTTTTACTCAGCTCGTCTATGTAATGAGGTAAGTAGATGTATACGAGCTTCACTCAGCTCACCCTTTAACAGGGGAAGAAGATGTATACGAGCTTCACTCAGCTCACCCTTTAACAGGGGAAGTAGATGTATACGAGTTTCACTCAGCTCACCCTTTAACAAGGGAAGTAGATTACTATGAGCTTCACCCAGCTCACCCTTTAACAAGGGAAGTAGATTATTATGAGCTTCACCCAGCTCGCCATTTAACAAGGAAAGAAGATTATTATGAGCTTCACCCAGCTCGCCCTTTAACAAGGGAAGTAGATTATTATGAGCTTCACCCAGCTCACCCATTTAACATAAATATCTTAACATATCAAAATGATAATGAATTATTTGAAACAACTGATCCAAGTAGGGAATACTTTATTAAAGCCAAAGTTGATAACAAGGCTATTGAAGACATTCATTCGTAGAGAATAAAATAATTATTGCAACTAGAAGTATTAGCAAAAATAAATAATAAATTGAGACTAAACTGAAATTGTTTACTGATAATATTTCTTTAGATGCTCAACATTCCATGGGTGAGGCAGTGGCTTTCCCTTTAAGTCCTCCAACCAGTATGTTCCTGGTCGCTGACATCGCATAACTTTGTAAGGTCCTTCCCATTTGGGACCTAGTTTCCCTATGGTTGAATCCTTAGTTGCCTGAGTAACTTTGCGAAGTACTAAATCTCCTACTGAGAACCTCCTAGGCTTGACCCGAGCATTGTAATACTTGGAAACCTTCTATTGATAGGCAGCCATCCTAATCTGGGCTAGGTCTCTCCTTTCTTCGATTAGGTCCAAGCTTATTTCCAACTCCCTTTCGTTCTGCTTGGGCTCGTAGTGCTCCGTCCTAAAGTTGTTAGGCCAATCTCTACAGGTACTACGGCCTCACTTCCAAACGCTAAAAGAAAAGGGGTTTCCCCTGTGGGAGTCCTTGCAGTAGTACGGTAAGCCCACAGTACACTCGGCAGCTGCTCAGGCCACAGTCCCTTTACAGCATCAAGTCGAGTCTTGATCATCTGAAAGATTGTTCTGTTAGTGACTTCAGCCTATCCATTCGCCTGGGGATGTCTTGGCGATGAGAAATGAATTTGAATCCCGAGCTCGAAACAAAATTTTTTGAAGTCAGAGTTATCGAACTATTTTGCATTATCTGTGACAATCACTCTAGCAATCCCAAATCTGCAAACTATTGATTTCCATACGAACTTCCTTATATTGTTCTCTGTGATCTTGGACAGAGGCTTAGCTTCTACCCATTTAGTGAAGTAATCAACCATAACAATGGCATACTTAGTCTGCCCTTTGCCTTTGATGAGAGGGCCAATCAAGTCCATTCCCCATTGAGCAAATGGCCATGGTCCTGACATGGGAGTCATCTCCTCTGACGGTTGTCTCGGGATGTTGGCAAATCGTTGACATTTGTCGCACTTTTTAACGAAGTCAAGTGCATCTTTCTGCATGGTGGGCTAATAGTATCCTTGTCGGATGGCCTTGTTAGCAAGTGACCTACCCCCAGCATGGTTTCCACAAACTCCTATGTGGATCTCCCTTAAAATGTAGTCAGCTTCCTCACTAGAAACGCATCATAAATACGGCATGGAGAAGCTTCTCTTGTAGAGCACCCCTTTGATAAGTGTATACCTAGCTGCCCGCATCTTGACCTTTCGAGCTTCTGCTCGGTCTATTGGTAGCACCCCATCCTTGATATATCTGATGATAGGATCTGCCCATTCCACACTCAATATCGCTTGTTGCACTTCAATTTGTCTCTCCTGAGATATAGATGGTTCGTCCAAATATTCTAGTGGTATATTCTTATTGATCTCAGGTTCTAATGCAGTAGCTAGCCGGGCTAAAGCGTCTGCTTTCCCATTCTCTTCTCGTGGTATTTGATGAATTGAGAATCTTTGGAAGTGATTCTTTAATTCTTTCACCTTTTGTAGGTAACTCTTCATCTTTTCATCTCGTGCCTCATATTCCGCTTGAACTTGTCCAGCGACCAGCTGGGAGTCGGTGTACACCTTTAATTGCTCAACCCCTAGGGCATTTGCCACTTTTAATCCTGCTATCAAGGCTTCGTACTCTGCTTCGTTGTTGGTTGCTTTGAAACCAAACCGAAGTGCGTACTGTATACTTTCTCCCTCTGGGGAGATAAGAACAAGCCCCGCTCCGCTAGCCTGAACATTAGATGACCCATCCAGGAACAAGTCCCAGACTACTTCTGGGCCCATCTGCTCACTTAAACCTGGTTCTGTCAAAAATTGGGGTTGTTTCTCCTCTTCTGGAGGGGTAAACTCAGCTAAGAAATCAGCCAACACCTGAGCCTTTACTGCTGTTCTTGGCTTATACTGAATGTCGAACTCCCCTAACTCTACTGACCACTTCATCAGTCGACCAGAGCTTTCTGGCTTGTGTAGGACCTGTCGAAGGGGTTGATCTGTTAGGACCACAATTATATACGCTTGAAAGTATGGTCTTAGTTTCCTGGCGGACACAATTAAAGCAAAGGCCAACTGTTCCATCCTTGGATATCTTTCCTCCGCACCCCTAAGTGCTTTGCTCACGAAGTATACTGGCCTTTGGACCCCTTCTTCTTCTCGTATCAAAGCTGAACTGACAGCTGTCATGGAGACTGCAAGGTATATGTATAGTTCATCTCCCGGTATGGTTCGAGACAGTAATAGGGGAGAACTAAGGTATTGCTTTAGTTATTTGAATGCCTGCTCACACTCTGGGGTCCATTCAAAAGCCTTCCTTAGCACACGAAAGAAAGGTAGACACCTGTCAGTTGACCGAGAGATTAGCCTACTCAAGGCAGCAATCTTCCCTGTTAGTCGTTGTAGATCCTTGGTTGATCTTGGCGATCTCATGTCATTGACTGCTCGGATCTTCTCTGGATTGGCCTCAATTCCTCTTCTGCTTACCATATATCCCAAGAACTTTCCTGAGGAAATCCCAAAGGCACACTTGCTGGGGTTGAGTTTCATCTTATGCCTCCTAAGTACCTCGAATGTCTCCTGCAAGTCAGTCAAATGGTCTTTAGCTTTTAAGCTTTTTACCAACATGTCATCAACATATACCTCCATGTTTTTACCATTTTGATGCTTAAACATTGCATTCACTAGCCTCTAGTATGTTGCACCAGCTTTCTTGAGCCCAAACGGCATTACTTTGTAACAGTACAAACCTCTATCAGTGATGAAGGCCGTTTTTTCTCTATCTGAGGTGTACATAGATATCTGGTTGTATCCAGAATATGCATCCATGAAACTTAATAGTTCGTGTCCAGCCGTTCCCTCAACGAGCATATCGATTCTTGGGAGAAGAAAGCTGTCCTTCGGGCAAGCTTTGTTAAGGTCGGTGAAATCCACACATAGCCTCCACTTTCCATTTGCCTTTTTCACTAGGACCACATTTGCTAACCAGTCGGGGTAGTACACCTCCTGAATAAAGTCGGCTTTTAAGAGCTTTTCCACCTCTTCTGATATAGCCTGATTCCTTTCTGGAGCAAAAGTCCTCCTCTTTTGTCTGACAGGTTTGAAGTCAGGATTTATATTTAGGCGGTGCTCCATGATAGTGGGGTCTATACCCGGCATGTCTTCATGTACCCATGTAAATACGTCTCGATTTTTCTTGAGGAATTGAGTAAGTTCATCTTTGAGACCTGGGGGGAGTAAAGACCCGATACTCACTTTTTTCTCGGGCTCACCATCACCAAGGATGACCACTTCTAGCTCCTCTGTAGGTTCCGCTCTATGAAAGTCTGGTCTATCTTTCCCTTCCAGCCCTTCAATCGTAAATGCCTCTTGCGATTTTGTTTTTCTGAGAGAGGCGACATAACATTCGCGAGCCATTGTTTGGTCCCCTCTTAGCTCTCCCATACCATATTCAGTTGGGAAACGCATCAGGAGATGGTAAGTGGACGTGATTGCTTTCATGGCATTCAATGTTGTCCTCCCCAGGATAATATTATATGATGATGGGCAGTCCACCACTACAAAGTCTACCATTACAGTGACCTGCTTTGGATTGGCTCCTGCAGTAACTGGAAGGGTAAATACCCCCAGTGGATATACTTTGTCGCCTAAAAATCCCACCAGTGGTGACTTCATGGGTCGGAGCTTCTCTCAGCCAATTTTCAATTTCTCGTACGCCCTAAGAAATAGTATGTCAGCCGAGCTACCATTGTCTATCAGTATTCGTCGAACAGTGAAATTAGCAATGACCATGGAAACTACCAGAGGGTCATCATGGGGCTGGTGAATTCCCTTGTCATCTTCTTCAGAAAAGGTTATGACCGGTTCCTCAACTCGAGGTAATTTTGTTGGAGGACTTGTCATTCCAACTTCATTCACCTCTGAAAAACTCCGAATTCTCCTAGCATGAGCCCTCCAAGCCGAACTTGTCTCACCACCACCAGCGAAGCCACTCGATATAACTTTGATCTCACCCATTGGTTGGTGTTGAGGAGGGCGATCATCTCGGCCCTCCTGGGCTGGGTTGGAGCCTCCTTTTCCATTTCTAGTTGTGAATTTGCGTAAATGACCTTTATGAACAAGGTTCTCGATCTGGTTTTTGGGGTCGAAACAATCTTCTGTGTTATGTCCATGGTCCCGGTGAAACCTACAGTATTTATCTCGAGACCTCTTTGTTAGATCAGCTTTTAGCTTTGCCGGCCATTTTAATGATGCGTCATCTTGAATCTGCAGAAAGACTTTCTCTACAGATGTATTTAGGGGGGTATAGTTATTATACCTGCTTGGGCTCACTGGGCGGCGAGACGATCTGTCAGCCTGGTTGTTTGAGAATTTCTTGTACTTCGATTTCCTTTCCTCCCTAGTGCTAGGTGCTGGCCTCTTCTAATCTGACCTCTTATCTTCACCATCTTTGTTTTTTCGTGCATTCATAGCATCCTCAGCGTTCATGTGCTTCCGCGCTCTAACCATCAACTCTGTCATGGTTGTAGGGGCTTCCTTTGATAAGGAAAATAGGAAAATAGCAACCTTGTCGTCCACCTCTTCAACTTGCAGCATTTCAGTGTTAAAACGACTTATGTAATCACGAAGGGACTCTCCCTTCTGCTGCTTCACATTAAGTAAATGTATTACTGGTCTCCTGTGCTTCTGCCCAGCGATGAAGTGTCCTATAAATTGTTTGCTCAACTCTTCAAAGTTTTCAATTGAGCCTGGCTTTAATTTATTGAACCAGAGACGAGCCCAACCCTTGAGTGTGGTAGGGAAAGCCCTGCACATAATCTCGTCCGGTACGACTTGCAAATATATAAGAGCTTTGTAAGTCTCCAAATGGTCGAGAGGGTCCCGCGTCCCATCGAAGCTCTCAAGAGTTGGCCTCTTGAATTTGCTAGGTAGAGGACAACTCATAACAGCTGGGCTAAAAGCTAGGTTGGTCTTTTGTACCATATCGTTCACTGTAGCCTGGCCCTTCCCTTTCATCGCTTGCATGACATCATCAACCTTAGCTTTTAGATCCTACAACTCTAGATCGAAATGAGTAGCGTCCTTAGTCTTGTCTCCAACATAACTAGAAGTATCTCTACGGAGCCTGCTGGTATTCCGTTCAGGAGACCGATGGTGATGGCTCCTCTGTTGACCCCCTATTTGACTAAGCTCAATGTCGTTGTTAACCCTATGGGAGTCATTGTTGGGTACTTCACTATTTCTTTTCTTGTTGGGGGCGACTAAGCATTGCAGAATCATCACATTTTGCTGGACTAACTGGTTCACCAGTTGTTCCAACGCTGCGACGCGTTCCTGATCGTTTAGGACGACGGGGGGTTGCCCCATTGAAGTCCCTGCATCAGAAGCCTGCAACCCTTCGTCCTCACCAGCAGCCAAACCAGATCACAATCGAACCATGCTTTATTTAGAGAACAAAAATAAGTTCCCACAGACGACGCCAACTATTGATGATGGATTCTGCGCAACCCGGATCTGATCTGATCTGATCCGACTTCCTGAACAGAGAAAAGAAAAAGTAACACGCTATCTCATAAGATTGAGATAGGCTCTACACACTAAGATAAGAATTATGACTAAGATAAGGATTACAGATTATGATAAGAATTGCAGAATACGATAAGGATTACGCCAACAGATTATGATAAGGATTAAAGACGACGTGGACTCTACGTAACATCCTAACCCAAAGCCCTATAAATAGGGGGGGCTAATCGATGTTTGGAGGTACGCAATAAACCCTAACTCAATTTCTTGATTTCTTTGAAGAGATTACTCCGCCCACTGACTTGTTCGTCGGAGCCTACTCCACCGGTAACACACCGGTGTTTGTGGGATCACTTTTTCTTTTCTCTGTTCAAGAAGTCGGATCAGATCAGAACCTTATCTCCTTAAGTGTATCCATTCCCTTTGAGTCTCCACGTCATGTGGAATTCTTATCTAGTCGAATATTCCGTATCAGTAGCCCCTCATTCCCGTAATCTTGCTTGCCAAGCGTCGGGAATGCTAAGTCTTTCCAAGCTAAGCATGCTTGATGATTACTTTCTTGCCCCTTTTCATAAGGGAGTGGATTTGCTCGAGCTATTCGAGCTTACCCTTTAATAAGCTTATCGTAATATTTAATCCTTATCGTAATCTGTAGAGCCTATCTCAATCTGTAATCCTTATCGTAATCTGCAGAGCCTATCTCAATAGTGCGTTAATTTAGCAATCTTCCCTTAATTATATATATATTTATTTATTTGAGTCGATGCATAACAGATATCATATTTTATTATTTTATTTACTTTGGATACTATACCCATCTTAGTGGAGAATTAAGAAAGACCCTTAATAATATGTACAGGAGTGTATGATTGAATAAAGCATTAAATATTCAATAAACAATCTAGGTCCATATATATAATCACATATCAGATGTATATGCAAATCACCTTAACTAATCTGTTATTCCATGATCTTCCAAAGGTACGTACTAAAGTAAGTTACTTTGTCTCTTCTCTTCCCTTATAGAGTTTTTTCATATACAATCTTCTCTTAGGTGATCATTTGTTGATAAATGATCTATTGAAATAAATAAAATTTGCTACATAAAATTTATTGTGCTTATCCTACTACTGGACGAATATATGGACATGTAGTTTTGGACAAAGGGATAAATCCTAAAGAGTAACACTTTAGGATCCATATCTCAAGATCATCCTCAATCTGAGGGAGAGTCAAATAGGTTGCTTCAGCTACCCGAGGAGTTAGATAATTCAGATTATTGGCATGATGGATGCTTTAGAAATTTATTGTATTGTGCTCGACATAAATATTTAAGTCTAATGCAAAGACTTTTGCATTATGTAGCTTGTTTATGTTCACGCCCTTTTTTTTTTTTGGTTTAGCTCTACCATTGATTTTCTCTAAGCAACTTAAGGACAAGTTTTACAATGATGAAGTGTGCAGAATCAATAGGTAACAAAATCAATAGTAAAGCAGTTCGTCAAAATAAATTGTGCTTTAAGTTGTAATGATTTTACTTATCTTTTTGGCGAAAACACTTCAAGTTTCCAGGAAGATGTTGCGGTTGTCCCATGATGAACCCTCATTGGTTTCAACTTCACTGTATGGTACCCTTGACCGATTGGATAATCCAAGCTACAGATTGATTAGAAATCATCACCACTTTGTATTCTGAAAAGGCTGGGTTGAAACCCCTTTGGATCCGGCACCTTCCCGGACCTCTGAAACTCCTTCGTTGGCTTTATTCCCTCGTGAATCAATAGCGTTGCTTCGCCGCCATCGTCGACTATGAGGTCAGGTCCACCATCAAGCCCCAATCGAGAGTACGCTCGGTATACCACTAGTACTCCTGGACGGTCTTGCCCTTTCAGGCGAACGCGGCGGTGCTGTCGCGAGTGATGGTGGAGGCGGCGTGGTGAGGATGCTGCATGAGTAGCAACGAACCTCGTTGAGGACAGCTGTTTGAACGGTCATGTGGAGTGAGTCAATGATCTGAGCTCCAGGTTGGGCCGAACTCGGTCCGGCAAGGCATGAGGCATTGTATTGTCCTTCTTTATTATATATATATATATATATTAGGAGCTGAAGTAACCAACTATATTCATACCGGATAGAAAGTGGATCGCGCACGTCCAGTTGTAATTTTGGTGATTGGAAAGTCACGTCACTGGACAATTGTAATTTTTAGTGGTTGGAAAGTCCCATCACTGGACCATTGTAATTTTTGGTGGCTGGAAAGGGATAGGTTCAAATCCCACATCACGTTAATGGTGTAAGTGATATGAGCCATGAGCCATCTGAGCCAGATAACTAATCACTCGTGGGAGTGGGAGTATATATTTATATGATTCCCACAAACGGCGCCAACTGTTGATGCAAGAATCTGTATGCTCCAGAGCCCTTGGCGATTCCTGCAAGACAAGAGAAGTGATGACCGGCGTGGTGCCGGCCGGGTGCACTCCGACGAGATAAAGTGTGAGCTGAGTGAAGCTCGTATTCATCTATTTATCTTATTACGAGCTGCGTGAAACTCGTCTTAATCTACTTTTCTTATTAAAAGGGGCAAGAAAGTAATCATCAAGCATGCTTAACTTGGAAAGACTTAGCATTCTCGATGCTTGACAAGTAAGATTACGGGAATGGGGGGCTACTGATATGGAATATTCGACTAGATAAGAATTCCACGTGACATGGAGACTCAAAGGGAATTGATACACTTAAGGAGATAAGGTAACCATCTTATAAGGTAATTAAAGGATTAAAGATTACGATAAGGATTAAGTCTACAGATTACAATAAGGTAATTCTACGTGACATCTTAACCTAAGCCCTATAAAGAAGGCGGGCTAATCAACGTTTTGGGGTACGCAAAAAACCCTAACTCAAGTTCTTGATTTCTCTTAAGAGATTAGTTCACACACTGACTTATTCGTCGGAGCCTACTCCACCGGTAACACACCGGTACTTGTAGGATCACCTTTTCTTCTCTCTATTCAGAAAGTTAGATCAGATCCGGGTTGCGTAGAATCCAACATCAACAGTTGGCGCCGTCTATGGGAACGATTTTAGTTCTCTAAATAAAGTATGGTTCGATTGCGATCTGGTCTAGTTGCTGGCGAATACGAAGCGTCGCAAACTTCTGATCAAGGGGACTCGACGAGGCAACCCCCTGTCGTCCCAAATGATTAGGAACGCGTCACAACGTTTGAATAACAGGTTTAAACCGTAAATCATGGAATGAACCAATTAGTCCAGCAAAATTCGATGATTCTATAACGCTTAGCCGCTCTTAATGAGGTGGAGAATAATGAAGTACCCAGTAATGACTCCTGTAGGATTGACAACAACGCCGAGCTTAGTCAAATAGGGGGTCAACAGAGAAGCCATCACCATCGGTCTCCTGAACGGAATACCACCAGGCTCCGTGCAGATACCTTTGGTTGTGTTGGTGACAAGACTGAAGACATCACTTATTTCAATCTACTAGGGTTAAAGACGTTATGCAAGCAATGAAAGGGAAGGGTCAGGCCACAGTGAACAATCTAGTACAAAAGACCAACCTAGCATTTAGCCTCGCTGTTATGTTATGAGTTGTCCTCTACCTAGAAAATTTAAGATGCCAACTCTTGAGAGCTTCGATGGGACACGGGACCCTCTTGATCATTTGGAGACCTACAAAGCTCTTATGTATTTGCAAGTCGTATCAGATGAGATTATGTACAGGGCTTTCCCTACCACACTAAAGGGTTGGGCTCGTCTCTGGTTCAATAAATTAAAGCCAGGCTCCATTGAAAACTTTAATGAGTTGATCAAACAATTCATTGGACACTTCATCGCTGGGCAGAGGTATAGGAGACAACAACACACTTATTGAATGTGAAGCAGCAGAAGGGAAAGTCTCTTCGTGGTTACATAAGTCATTTTAACACTGATATGCTACAGGTAGAAGAAGTGGACGACAAGGTTGCCCTCACAGCTTTTATGGGAGGACTACAGACCTTTAAGTTCCTATTCTCCTTGTCAAAAGAAGCCCCTACGAGTATGGCAGAGTTGATAGTTAGAGCACGGAAGCACATGAATGCTGAGGATGCTATAAATGCACTAAAAAACAAAGATGGTGAAGATAAGAGATCGAATAAAAAGAGGCCAACACCTAGCTCGGAATTACTATGAACCTCCACATTAAAGGGGCGAGCTTAGAATTACTACGAACCTCCTTATTAAAGGGGCAAGCTCGGAATTACAACGAACCTCCTTATTAAAGGGGTGAGCTGGGTGAAATTCATAATAATCTACTTCCCTTATTAAAGGGCTGAAGCTCGTAAAATATATTTCCCTTTTTAAAGGGCGAGCTGAGTGAAGCTCGTAAAATCTACGTCCCTTTTTAAAAGGTAATCTCATGAAGCTTAAGAAAGCCTACTCCCTCAGCTCATGAAATTCGGGCAAATCAGCTTCCTTATTAAAGGAGTAAGAGAGGTCAACCAAAAAGAGGTCGTCCATCAAAGGTTAACCTAAAAAGAGATTGATTTCTGCCAAAGAGACATCACTCAAAAAACCCTTTGACATTCTCGATGCTTGACAAGCAAACACGAGAATGGGGGGCAACTGATGAGGATAAAAATAATAGGCAACTCAAAAGTCAAATGAGGCATAAAATGAGGGTAAGGGATTTATCCTTCCCCTCTATCTGTATGGAATAATAAAAAAATATCTGGTTACCATATGTAACGGCAATTACCATTCTTATAAGAAGGAAACAATATCATTTTGGATGGGGGAGAATCTCGTTTCAACAACCACTACCATTAATACTTCTATTAAAGAGATAATGGGTCAACCTAAAAAGGTACGCCATAAATTTCATATGTAATGCTTATCGGATATGGAATCGTCAAATACTAACTTGACCATCGGAGTGCACCCGATCAGCACCACGCCGGTCATCACTTCTCTTGTCTTGCAAGAATCGCCAAGGGCTCCGGAGCGTACAGATTCTTGCATCAACATAGTTTATGCGATCCACCATTTTAAAAAGAAAGAGAGAAAAGAGGGAAGATAATATAAAATTGGAAGACATTTTGAATAGCAAAATCATGTAACCATACACTAGTTAGCGTGGGGCCGCGAATGATTTGCCCACTAGATGTAACCCTACACTAGTTAGTGTGGGGCCCGCGAATGATTTGCACTGGAGCAGATCCAGTGCAGATCCAAGGGCTGAGGTGAAACCACCTCAACTCATTTGCCACATCATCGTCCAGTCAGCACTTAGTCAGCATCCAGTCAGCATTTACACAAAAAATTTACTGATGTACTATTTTCATTTACCACATGTATGAATACTCTATATACTTATACTAATACACCATACACTTATACATTATACAAAATCAAAATACATAATTTACAATTACATTTAATATATATATTTTTTTGTTAAAAATTACCCAAAATTACAGAACCCTACTCTCTCTCCTCTGCTCTTCATCTTCGATGCATCCTCTGAAGTTCCACTGTTCTTCTTCCTTCCAACTCATGTAGTTTAATGGCTATGGAGGAATCACATCCTCTAATATTCAACCCACTTCCTTTTATATACAAACATATATACTTTCTCTCTATTTATATCTCTCACACAAAAATACACTCTCTCTCTCTCTCTAAAAAAACCCATCAAAGATATGTTTTTCGTATATCCCTGATTCTACATAGATCCATTTTTACCATCTCCTCTTTCTCTAAGATCTCTCTCAGAGATCGTCGCCCTTGCCAAACCATCTATCTGATTTCGGTATGCTCTCAAATCTTCACGACCTTTCTTGTTGTATTCTTCATATTTCTGTTTCTAATTATATCCTCAATTTCTCATTTTTAATTAATTCTAGTTAGGTATCTATATATATCGATTTCAATATTTGAACTACTGTAATTAGGGTTCGATTGAGTATTTCTTGTTCAATTTCAGATCGCCAATTTCCAGTTTCTTGTGTTCTTTTCTTTCTCTACCTCTGTTTGTTTGTTGGGAAAACAAAGAAAAAGAATAGAAAATAACAAAAAGAGTACCAATACCAACCCCAAGCCGCCAACAACCACCACCAAATCAACGACTACTTTTTTCTCTCACTCTCACAAATTTCATTATTTAGAAGAAAAAAAAAAATTTGTAATTTTTCCCTTCATTTTTTTATCCTTGCCAGACCTTTTTCCGAATATAAGGATTCGGGTCTTGGTTGTTGAAAATCATTCTGAATTGCCATATATTGTTTTTGTTTGTCTGGATAGAGTTGCATAAGTGTGGTGAAATCCTAATCTGCTCTATCAATCCTACCATACCCACATCAATCATAGATCCATAACTTTATTCCAAAACCCAGATCAACGGCAAGAAGTGGTTCCAATCTCACAGACCCAGTTCGTCTGATTGCAACAACAATCTGGTCCAATCAAACTGAGTTGATGCATCAGAGATTGAAAATGATGAAGATTGGTTTCTTTATTTGTCGCTCTCAACTTCCCAACTAATTTCTCAACTTCCCAAGTGCGGCAACTAGTTCTTTATTCTATGGGTCGACGGAATCGAAGGATGAAGGCCGCGGATCCATTCACCATCGCCGCCAGTATATATTTGTGTGTGTGTATATGTATCTGTATATATATATATATATATATATGTATGTGTGTGTGTGTATATGTGCGTGTTTGTTGGTGTTGGGGCGGGGAAGAAAGAACAGAGAGGAGAGAAGGTGAGAACAGTGGCTCTGATTTGATGATGTTCCATGGCGGCATGCGTCGTCATCACCACCACCATGACAATAGGTTCAAGCACCACCACCATGACAATGATGATGAGGCAGAGGCGGCGGCTGAGGGGTTCTTTACACCGGGCGTCAGGCGGCGATTATGTAGACCAGTTTGAGAAGAGAGTTTCTGGTTTACAGAGCATAGGCATATATCTGTATATATATATCAGATCAGTTTTGGGGGTAACCTTAATTTTGGTTTTGGTTTTGGGGGAAATTTTAACTTAAAAATTGAAATACAGGTAGCAGAAAGGGCGTACAGAAAGGGTATAAGTAGAAAGGGCGTACTGAAGCAAAACTATAGTGAAATCATGTTTTACCAGCGCGGCGCCCAGGACTGGACCGGTTCCAATGAGAAGCGAATGGAGAAGATTTTTTTCGTGGCAAAAATTCTACTGGATGTACTAAATGAGATATATTTTGAAACGTCACATCTAGTATACTAGTAATGATAGTTAATTCTACCAAAATGGCCACCCTTAATTACCATTGCTTTCTCAATCTCAATTCTTAAAGTGTGATATAAATCAACTATTAATTACCATTGCTTTCTCAATCTCAATTCTTAAAGTGTGATATAAATCAACTATTAATTACAATTGCTTTCTCAATCTCGATTCTTGCATAATAAGCTTGGTTAAAGTAGTACCAAGTTTGAGAGAATGTAAGACTTAGTTGCTAGCAAAAGAGTTCTCATCTGCTTATATAGGCTATAAGGCCTAAGGGTCTTACAATGACTAAATGAATAAGATCTGTACAAGTACATGTCTATGATCACACTAATGAGTATTCTATAATGAGGTTTTAGAATGCTCTCAGGAATAGTTTTTACAAGTTTAGAATGAGGTCTACAAGTCAAAAGAATGAGGTTTTAGAGATTGTATTCCTTGAAACATTTTAGAACCTAATATATAATTGGCAAAACAATTCAATTCATGGTCAAGACTGCGTGATTGATGTGATTGTAGGCTCTCATGCATGTTTTATGAAGGACCTTGTTCGTCAACGGCTTCTGCTTGGTGTTTTTTTACTTTTGAAATAATTTAAGAATATTCAAAAATTTAAATTCATTGATTGCTGATAATCAAATTATGAAAAGCCTCATTCATGAGAAATTATTGGTATTGGTTGTGTGATATACATGAGACATGTGTAGTAACGGATTCAAGAATTTGTCTAGGGGCAATTGTAGAAATTTTTTGTAATTTTATGAAGGAATATAATTTTTTTTTTCTTTCCTAAATTAAATATAAAATTTTCATAGATATATAAATGGTTCAAAAAAGAAAAATTCCCTACTAAAAAAAAAAAAAAAAAATTCATCAGAGTGAAGGCAATTTGACAATGAGCTACATTCGTCCCTGACAGGTGCCATTATGTAACGATCCGAACCCATGGGTTCGAAACGCTAACCGAGTTCTTACCCGAACTCGAGGTCAACTAAGGATACTACCGTCCTTTCCTATGTCAATGCATATTATACGTGTTATTCTAAGGTTTACAAAATAAATAAATAATAATAATAATTAAATGAGATCATAACTACAAAGTATGACAAAACAGTTCACTAACCCATCAAAACCTGTGGAGGAGTGCCATCCGCCACTTCCTTCCCCTATCCTGAAAAATGTTAAATAATGGGGTGAGCTAAACGCTCAGTAGGAGGTGCCTAAGACACACCTCTTATGGCCCCGTAAATCCACATATAGAATATAAATCAAGAGAATGGGATCATACTATATCGGGGATATAATTCATAACCACAACATCAAATATAACCACAATTGTCGTTCAAGTCACAATTATACCATGTATGCCAATGTAGTGCAATGCCATGCCCATGTCGCTCCCCATTTTCCGAAACATTACCGTTTCAACTTCCAAATCGTTAGTGCAATCCGACCCAAGGCACCTCCAAGGCGTCACGAAATGAGGATTGGCTAACTATCTATAACCACAAGGCACCTCCAAGGCGTCGCATCTGGCCTAATTAGCTCAACCAGAATCCTCTCTAGACTACACTAACATCACGAACCACTAGGCACCTCCTAGGCGTCCGGTTTTCACAATCACTTTTCAAAAATAATTTTCTTAAAACGATTTCATTTGCTTCAAAAACACTTTTCCCTTTCTCTTACTTTCCCAATGGATGCATGAATGCTTCATGCTTCTAAACACAATTCAACTATTGAATTTCACATATGTTCTCTATAATAAATTTCAAAATGCGTAATTCATGCTTTCATTCAATATTGATTTAACATAGTAATCATACAAGACACAAATTCTATTCTACATAGACATGTTTACACACAAAACATCAACTAATACAAAATCACATTTCTCATATACATCATTTAGCATGCATTCTCCTCAAATAACAATTAGCACATCACCACATATTACATATATAACAATTAAGTCATCTTTACAAGAATCCACAAAATTTAGGCATGCTTTACAACAATTAATGAAAGGTAATTCACTAAAATCCAAGAAAATGTGAATTAGAAACCCCTACCTCAATTTTGTAGAAAAACCCTCAAAATGGGTCCTAAATTCCAAATCCCTAGAGTTCACCAAAATCACTTTTGCTCCGATCAAATCGTAGATCTTGACGCGCTCTTCGTTTTGCCGCAAATAGCTCCCAAAAATACCAAAAGATGAAGGAGAAATCAATGATTGAATTTTTGTTTTGAAAAGAAAAAGAAAATGGATCAAGATGGGGAGAGATAGAGAGCTTACGAAGTGGGAGAAAATGTGAGGCCAACATGGCCTTCTGGCCACAATTTGTATAAGTGGTGGGTCCCACCACTTTTAATTAAAAATTTTCTTTTTTCTTTTTATTTTTACACCACAATTCTGTATATATATATATATATATATATATATATATATATATATTCATACACATAGCAATTCTCCACCACATATAACACATTAAATAAAATAAATGTGATGCAAAATGGACTTAAACAACACCCCCGTACACAACAATTCCGGTAGCGGTTCCCGCACGAGACCGTCTGGCCCAAAAAATGGAAAAATGCAAAAATGGCTAACCTTGCATTTCAATGAGTCATGAATACAATGAAATGTCCCAACCAACACTCGGACACAACCGGCACACCCCACGGTGTCTGGCACGCAAAACGAGAAAATATGAAAATAGCCTCAAAAAAATTCCAAAAAATGAAAAATGGTAAAATTTGAAAACATTACATTCTACCCTCCTTAAAAGATTTCGTCCTTGAAATCTACCCTCCTTAAAGAAGGAGACCCGCAACCACACACTTTCCGAAAATACCTCACAAAATCACAAGACTAAGAACTCAACAACCTTATTACCTTTGACACCAGACGCCCAAAGGAAATCACACATTGTCGTTAGAAAAACCCAATGGTCACCACCCTATGAGGGTACTCGTCACTCACAACATCATACACAAAACCCACTGGATTCTATACTCGACTTAAAACCAACACTGGTCCCCTCTACACCGCTATACAAGGCTTCGGAGCCGAAAGAAGAACGGTCACAAGACCCCTGAACATGGCAACATCCTATCTCAATCCAACCTTCAAAGGACATACAAGACCCCAAACGAGGAACCCTGTCCATCTCACAATCAAGCTCAAACTCAACTTTACACGTCCCTGTTAGACCAAGCACTCGCTATTCACTGCATAGCTACACCACCGCACTATACGATAATCACCATACTAGAGAACTTCAAGAAGATAAGACAACGGATTTCCCAATGACTACATAATTATAAGTCACCAGAATAATAAAACGTACTATCCTATATCCGGGACACACATCCTTAAAAAGAGATCCTCAATAATCAATGATCGTACCACAAACCCTTTATCAGACACTTGATCCTTCCTAACACACCTCATCACCCGAGGCAAATAATCCAAATCCACACTGCCACACCGACACAACGCGCAAAACCGTGCTTTCACTGTCACTAACAAGTCGAAACAATCATTAACCTTTGACCCGACATTGTGCTAAAGAGGGACTGATTCAAGAGAAATGGTTAGCCAGGCCATTCTCATCCTCGATCCGATCTCAGCACAAACGTCGTTCTTGTCCTCATGTCTAAACCTCAAATACAGTCACATACAGTCCACAAAACAACCATGAGATCCACTCACTATCAATCCATCGCTCTACGCAACCTCAATAACTTTAGAGTCACATACTTACTCTAAAAATCCCAATCATACTTTAATCACACAACCCCTAACAAGCTAGAAAATAACACAGCACCAAACGTCACAATCATCAACCGGCGTAAAAACTCTCTAATGATTTCATAGCACCAATATCAAGTAGACAACCCCATAACATCATTCGATTCAATTCTTACTTCTCCAAAACACACAATACGACCATCTCATGCCTAAAACCTCAAAACCAAAGTCAATCACTTCTATTATTCCTCAATGGAATCACGCATTCACTCTCTAACTGCATAATACTCAAATAATACCAATACTTGTCCTCAAGACACTACTAAAATCAAGAATCAATAAAAATAACCGAGTACATAACTCACATCACATCACCTAATCATCCTCAAACTGCCGTTCAAGACATATCCCCCAATCATCACCGATAGCACCAAACACAGGAAACACAATCCCTATTCGGTAACTCGTGCCATCAAAACCACCCTCAAAATAAGTACCACTAAGAACCAATGACTTTATCTCCCTCAATGGGAGAGAGTCGACCAAATCAATCAAACATTTACCAATAACTCCTATAATGTAACAAACCACACACAGGTCTGCCCACCCACGGACGCGCACAACTCCTAAATGGAGAACAGGGCTCACGACAAACGACGTGTTTGCCAAGACTAAAATAAACGAAAAGGGTAACAAACCCCACTCTCACAAGAGACTGACGACTCGCACTTGAATGCACCCTACACCTTGTCACACGCTATACACCAATTGTCCAACCATGGATACCCAATCTCACCAGAGATGAAATGAACTCCCTATACACCAGGAGAACAACCAACTGGATACCATACGGAACTATGAACTCAATTATAGGCGACCTTGACACTAACAGACCGTCATATCCTATCAACACAGAAACCTCGCACACGATACTCCGCAACACCAATGCTAACCAAAACCAATCAGATCCATACCACATATTCGTCGAGTACTAAAATACAAGTTACAACACAATCATCAAGCAAGAGCATCAACGCTCACAACATACCAACACTAGAAACGATTACAACCCATCAAACACTGTATCCCGTTCTACCTAGATACAGTCACTCCCAAATGACAACATCTATGCCATAAAATGACATTTTACCACCCATTCCATCTCTACCTTCCAAGGTGACACTACCTCGAACACCATGCACAAGATTCGTGACGTCAGACACATCAACCCACTACTCGTCAAAAGAAAAAGGTGCCTATTTGGAAACATCATCCTCACTGACTCTAAAAACTAATTAATCCCCAACCGCCTCAACTAATGCACAACCCCATCACCTACCTGACAACACA